TTTAATATCGGCGAGCCCCGTTCGTCCCCTCCCCCTCTTTCTCCCTCCCTCCCTCCCTCCCTCCCTTCCTCCCTCCCTCTCGCCGGGACTCGCCCCGAAATACGATTAATGGGAAGTGAGAAAAGAGGAATGAAAAATCGCCCCCCTCCCGCCCTTCAGCAACACTCAGCTGTTTGTACAGCCATTTGGTGGACGAACGACGGAAAAAATGCAGTCACACATCAACATCTTTCTTCCATTCCTTTTTTACGACGAGAGAAAAGTAGAAAAAGGTAGAAATAAAAGGAGAACCGGGAGAATGCTAGAGATGCGACTAACGCAATGTGTATATGTGTGTGTACACGTGTGTGTGTGTGTGTGTGTGTGTGTGTGCGTGCGCGCGAGTGTGTATGTGTGTACATGTATGTGTTCGTGTGTGAACGAATGAAACTAGCATGCGTGTGCACGTGTGTTCCGTGTGCGTACGCGCGTGTTTACGTGTGTACGAGAGTGTCAGAGTGTGTGTGTGTGTGCGCGTCATCTTACAAATATTATGTTGACTAGAGTCTACGTTATCTATACACACCACCTATTTTATCATCGAATTATATACGAGCGGTCGCGTGCGTCACCGATGACCCTTCTTCTTCTTCTTCTTCTTCTTCTTCTTCTTCTTCTTCTTCTTCTTCTTCTTCTTTTTTCATCGCGGTCATTCATATACCTCATTAGACGTCTATGTTTTTTCTTGCCTTTTTCTGCTTGTTATCCACGTAGGTACATATACATATAGTCGTGTAATATCGTAAAATACAGTACAGATCCGCGTGCGACGTGCGCGCGACGAGGTATCGCTCTCTGGCCGCGCTCTCTCTTTCTCTCTCTCTCTCTCTCTTTCTCTCTCCCTCTCTCGTACAGATCCCCGGGCTGTTTTAGTCTCATCGACGGAATTGTGTATCTCTCTCCCGATGTGTGTGGCAGCCGTCGTCCCCGTCCCCGTCCCGCGGCCCCCGTTGAAGTGAAGATCGTGAGAAGCGGGACGCGATTCCTCGTTCGCCGCGCACGTTCACAGTTTATCTTACTCCTCGCGATCTCGCTGCTCTCTCACATATCATAAATATTTATATATAATATATATCTGCTTTCTTCCTTGCTCTTCTTCTTTTTTTTTTATATCGGTCTCTAGGCATATTTAGCGCGACGAATTCGTGCGTGTTTCGCGTGTGTCGAGTCGTCGTGTCCTCTGTCGCTGTCGGACGTGTACGTACATCATCCTCGTAACTAGTATACACTCTCTTTTCTCACTCTCTCTCTCTCTCTCTCTCTCTCTCTCTCTCACTCTCTCGCTCTCTCGCTCACGCGTACGTATAAGTGTACAACAATTCGATCGCATCTCGCTTCTTTCTCCTCTCGTGTTTCTCTGTCGATTTTTTTCACTTAAATACCACGTAATTAAGACACGTTCTCCTTACATGTGTAATCGCTAGTTTGAACGATAGCATTCGACAGATGTTCGTTTCCGGTTTTATTATGCGCGAACCGAGGTAATCAATCATGGAGGATCGATCGGAGATGTACATTGATCAGCGCGGGTGAATTCAGCGTGAATCCCTATCTGAAAGATCGGCTCGTCCGCCTCGTTCGTCCGTTTCAGAGAGCGCGCTTCTCTATTCGCGTCGCGCAAGCGTTTGGAAAAAGCGTCTCTTGGCGCGATCTCGATCTCGATCTCGATCTTATCGGCGGGAACGACGGGGGCGGCAGGCGGAGGCTCCTCTTTCGAAAAGTCCCGCCGTTCTACTCACGATCGCGGATACGCTGCGCGGATTGCGATGCAAGCGAAGCGAACGCGCCTTGGCAGAATTGATTCTCGTTTCCGATTCGTTCAGTCTTGCGCCTTCCGCGTACGAGGCGCGTTTCTTTCGTTATCGTGACGCAATTCGTAAAATCCTACATACTGACGTTAACGCGATCTTCCCCTAACGAGCGCGTGTGCGACACTTTCATTAGCACGGCTAATCACAGCGGGCAGTGACGAAACACCCAGAGTCTCTCCCTCTCGATTTTCCCTGTCCTCTCCTTTTTATGTACATTTCGACTTGCACTTTGCACTCCCGTTGCCTCTGCTCCCTCCCTTTCGCCCGGTGGCTCGCTCTCTCTCTCTCTCTCTCTCTCTCTCTCACTCTCTCAGTAGCTTGTCTAGGGATAGCGGTTGTGAAAGGGACGCGTTGTTTCTCAGTCTTCGCGAGTGGACGCGTACGTGTACGCGCACGACGAGAGGAAAGTGCCGAATACTCGCGGACGCGGCGAGATTGTCCATCCCTTCTCTTTCTCTCTTCACACTTTCTTCCCCTCTTTTGCCCAATACGACGCACATCTTTACTCGATATCCCGTGTCCCAAACGTTTGCCCGGCTACGACGAAAACGTGATCGAACACGACGGAAAAGAATTACTACGGCGGCGATGTTATCCAAAGTTTACATATTGTAAATTATGACGTCACTTGGTGAAGAGTTTCGACAAGTTGAAACAAGCCGATTTTCCGAATCTTTCGCCCTCTCAACTGGCCGGTTAACCAAACGTAGTGTAGAAAAACAAAGTATAGAAACAAAGTATAGGATTTGTCTGTAAGTCACGCGAGTTAGGCCAAGCGACGGGACAGACATACATTCTATCGAGTTTAGTCTTTTCAGTTTCTTTTCCCCCTTCTTTTTTTTTACATTGTGTGCAACGGACAAGCGAGGGTGCACTTGCAAATTCTGAATATTCTCGGAGCCGACCGACCGACCGACCGACCGACCGACGGTTCTTCGATATCTCCTCTCGTGCCTTCCGTTTAGCCTTCCGTCAAGCAAACTCTGCTGCCAATTAACGCGGCAAATTGAGCAGCACGCTTTGCACGTTTCGTCCATCTTCGTGTGCGCATCGTTTGAGATGCAGATGAAAGTTGCAACGCGTACGCGAATGCACGCGTTATTGACTCCACGGAGACGTTAACTGCACACTCGAATGATCTCGATGAGAAGGCAATGGATGATTAATGCTCTCTCGCGCGTTGGTGTCAGCGTGCGTCGTCGTCTGAGCAATGTAAAAAGCACGGAAGTCGATCGACGCGAATTCGACGGGAGCGCCACTTCACTTTGGAGTACGCTTCGGAGTTCTCGATTAACACACGTATATAATTAACGGCAAACTGGAATTATGAGAGAATATCGCGATTGTCATCGCCGCGAAAATTGTTGCTTTAGCGCGCACAGAGAAACACATATTGCGTCCGAGCGAATGTTACTTGCTCTTGAGATATTTCGTAAGTTTGTGCATCCGCAGATCTGTCAACATGAGTTTATCACGAGTGTTCAATCCGGAATGTAACCCCAAATCTGATCAAAAATTAAAAAACTTGAAATACGCACGGAATCTTGGCGAGTCTAATATTTCGAGCATCCGGACGGAAAAGTAAAACGAGGATATAAACCAAAAATTCAATTTGCTTTTCACGTAGAGCATACGAGTTTTCTGATATTCTTAAAAAGGAAATATATGTGTAAGTTCTTCTCCTTCGAGTATCATACAAGAAAAATATTCTTCGTTGAGAAGGCGACCTTACTTAACGTAATTTACCAGAAGGAAACTAAACCGAGCGCGAGCGACCGCTCGCAACAGAATGATATATTCCTCTGTGTGCGTTGAAACACGCGTCCTTCCTTTCGACGTAGGAAGCAGTAAGGGTGGGAAATGTGTACAAACTACCAACAACGACGAATCAGCGCGTCTTTCGCTCTCCGCGTTCTCCGCTGACGTCGTTCTCCCCGACACGAACCGTCAGCCGCCAGAGATACGCGCGTCTCACGGTCAAGTCCTCGCCTCCACCTTCTTCTCATTGTCTGAGATCGTACCTTATCGTATAGTATTGCGCGTTAGATGTTATCAAAAGCCATGTAAGTCTTCTCTACGAAGTTGTGCGTTCGGTCCGCATTCACGGGGATCGCGCGTGAAGGGGATTTCGGTGAAGCGGTACGTTATCGTTTATAGTTTTTACACGTTTTGATTTGATTTGTTCGCGCGTCCGTTTCGATCCTTCTCGAGCCGAACGCAATGCAAACGTTCGAGGATCAACGATCAACGGGCAAGGATCCGCTCGCCAAGTTGCTGATATTTATCTTCGCTGTAAGTGGCAGTAAAACGGAGTGTGACGCGATAAGCTGTGGCGTCGGGGATGAGAAACGAGAGAGAGGGCAGACGCTAAAATTAGTATAGTCGTAATGCGCGCGACGTTCCTGATTCGTATGCGGAGGACTCGGCCCCGACGGTGCATCCTCGCGTTTAAACTAACACGTAGAACAATGGATACACGTGTATACGTATGTGGAATATGTACACACACACCCATCATCCATCCGCGGTAATATCGTCCTAAGAATTAGGCTAATCGCATTGATTCTTTGGCAACTCGGAGCTGTCGGATGTCGACGTACACGCACGCACACACACACACACACACACACACACACACACACACACACACACACACACACACACACACACACACACACACATACGGACACGCAACACACTCATGTTATACATACGAATTATATATATATACGCATTATATATCACGTACTATTGTGCACGCAAGTCTTATGCTATAACACACATTCATATATATATATACATAAATATATATATATACATATATACACACACACATATATATATATATATATGTATGTGTGTGTATGCATATGTGCCTGCGCGAGCGCGTGCGTGTACGCGTCTGTATACGTGTGTATGTGTATGAGGTTGTGTGTAAATATATATAATATTTATATATATACAATGCATAAACAACATAAACTTACACGATGGATAAAGATAAACATCACCCACCCAGCGTGCATCAGCAATTCTGTCTCTTTTTGTTTGGCACTGTCCGCTAGCCGGGAATGGGGTTGTCCCTTATCGATATCAAAACTCTCTCTCTCTCTCTCTCTCTCTCTCTCTCTCTCTCTCTCTCTCTCTCTCTCTCTCTCTCTCTCTCTCTGCCGCCCGGTTTAACGGTTCACGTAGCCCTATGTACACTAAGATCCGCTCGAAGATCCTTCAGCTCATCCTGGATACGGACTATCACCTCCTGCGCGACGTGCGAGGATCAGTCTGCACGGAGAACACAGACACATATGTATGGCTTTTCCCTGTGTTTTCCGCTTCTTACTAGACTAAACTCGCGTATTTACCTTCACGGGGCGACTCCTCTCCCCACGGATGAGGAGTGCGCGAGCGCGCGCGCGCGCGCGCCTAGGCGTCAGTGACAACTTACCAGGTCGAGATTAAACTTCCAGCGACCGGAAGCTCGATTACAGCGGGTCCGACCTTCGCGTGGGTGCGCTGCAACCGAAGATAGGCCGGCATCATTGCGGCATCATCTTGCAGCTGGGCTCCATACTGTCGGTAGGTACGCGCATGCTGCCATTTGTGATATAACCGTTAGCATCGACCATTACAGACACCCCGGGTGGATGATTATGATAACTAATGTTTCTCTGCGACACCACCATGCTTTTCTCCGGCACTACATGATCGTTGCTGCCGTGGGAGGAGAGGCAAGTTTCGCTCCCACGGCTGCTGGATGATTCGAGCGGGTGATCCACGCGTATGGAAATGGTGTAGTCGGGCAGGTATTCGGAACTGACTTCTACCGTGGCGTACTCGCAAATGACAGATGACTTGGATGGATAATCTAGCGGCATATGTTGAATCGATGAAGCCGACCTGATCTCGTTCGGGTCATTGAGCGTGGCGACGTGTCCGTTGGCCATGGCGTACAGATCGGGCTCAGCGCGGCCTTTCGTCGACAGCATGGACTCCAAACACTGGTATAGCAGCACATAGTCCTCCTGTTGAGCGACGTTGAATCACGTAGAACGTAAGAACAATCTTTTCTCTCTCTCTCTCTCTCTCTTTCTCTCTCTCTTACTTTCCCTCATTCGTTTCCTCATTCATTCCCTCGTTCGCATCGCGAACGCGAGACTTAAGCGGTAGGAAAATTGACCAATCACGATATCGATTGTCCCTGAGGCGAGAAGGAGAATAATCTCGACTGCGGTCGATCGATTTACGTGGCGCTTAAGTTTTATTCATGTTCGCGTGCTTTTCTACGTGCTCCCGAGCTGAAGTTGTACCAAGCGAGTCGATACTTTGGGCTCATTAGCTTACCTTCGAGCGGAAAACGCCAGGTCTCTTCATGTAGAGCAGCTTCGCGAACATGTAAATGTCGGCGGTTTGCTCGAATTCCAGTTGCTTGTTCAGGGTGGTCAACAGAACGAAGAGTGCCGCCTCGACTCCGCCATACCTGCGACAAATAACAGACGCGTAAGTGTTCCGTCGTCGTGTCGCGCTCCAGCGAGAACGGGATCCCACCTGTCCATCACGACGATAGGACCGTTTTGATAATCCCGATGAAAGTCTTGGATGATGTTGACGAAGGTCTTCGGATTGTTGTTATGTGGCCACAGTCCGCTTTGATTCGACGGCGCTTGGACGATCCTCGCGCTCAGCTCGTAGTCGTCCTGCAACGACCGAACCGCGACCTCGAGCAGGATAGTCCCGTTCACAGTCTCCTTCGTTCCGCACAGTCGCACGCGGAACGTCTCCGATTCGAGATCTTTCCCCTCGATGGGCCAAAACTCCGGGTACTCCTGTCGGGTGAGAGATTTTTCATCGCATTAAATCGCCTCGTTCCGTTAAAGCGCCGCTCAACTGTGATTTACAATCGCGATCCTGTTCGAGGTGCGTACCTCATTGCATTGAGTCAGCATGACGATGGTCTGTGCATTATGGTCCCACATCATCTGCCAAAACTCCATTATGGTATTCTCCATCGGGTGCTGCGTTATGATGAATTCACGGTTGCGTTGGAAACCTGCAAAACACGCCATTGTTGTCATTGCTGTTGTACCTCGATCAGGAAACTGCGCGTGAACATCCCTTACGCGATTACGACTGACGTGCGCATTGTCCTGAAAAATCAAAATCTCGACATTCGCGGAGACTGGGGAACAACAATTTCCCGGGAAGTAATCGTGATACAAGAAGTACCGAGAGAATAATATCCTGCAATTCGGTAACGACTTTCGATGAAGTAACTATACTATCGATATGTTTAAAAGTCTCTATTGGCGGGAAATGAAAGATTACTTTTGAAACATAAATAACAATGAATAAAAAAAGGTAGGAAAATTAAGATTGCACACACACGTACCGAGAAAGGTTAAATCTCGGTAGGTATTTTTTTCAGGACGATGCGTGTCCAACGATGCGATTGTATGAATTACCTGAAACCCAAGTGGCGTTGATGTAGTCGCTGCCGTCGATGCCAGGTTTCGGTGTCAGGTGGACGCGCGCGTTCTCGATGGGGATGATGTCCATGTTGCGGTTCTTGTGGACGTTGCAGGCTTTGGTGGCGGACACGAGATTGAAGTCCTTGGGCTTCCACGAGGTAACCAGCTAACGAGGATAGGAAGCAATCGGTGAGATTGAATCTCCACAAACGCGCGCGCGCGCGCGCGTTTCTCGATGCCAACGAGCAAGTCACCTTATATTGAGCTTCGATGTTGTTCCACGCGTCAGTCTTGTTGTTCGATGGACACAACATGTCTTGGACGTGCTGCATTAAATTATTAGCATCGATATTCGTCTCGCCGCTCTCTATCGCCTCCTGCAGCGCATCGTGGATAAAGATGTACTGCTCCTCCGTCTGTACCAGGAAATTCCTCTGGGTGCGGATGTGCTTGAGGAAGCCGAACACGTTGATTTCGTTCTTGCTCTTGGCTTGCTTCAGCATCGCGTCGATCACGATGTACGTGCCGGTTCGCCCGACGCCGGCGCTGCGCAATGAGGAAATACAAGTTCGCGGCTGTGAGACGGCAAGTTAAAAATCGCGGTGTATACAGATACTGTATCTACATCTTATCTAGAGCGCGGTTAAATATATATCTTTAAAGACGAGCGACGAGCGTAACACACGACGTTGAAGTCGGTGCTCGCTTTCGATCGAAGGCGATCTCGTCGAGAAGGATTACAGGAAAGACAGAACTGTTCGTCACTGCGACGACCGTCACCTGCAATGGACCACGATGGGCCCGGCATCGGGCGGATTGGCGTTGGACGATTTCCGGATGAAGCTGAGTACGGGCAACGGATGATCGGGCACACCATGATCGGGCCAGCCGGTATAGTGATACTGCCATATAGTACGCTCGCCTACATTGGTCCCGTTTTTCTTCTTCTTGATCTGCTTAAAAATTCCAAAGAGATTTCTCATTGGGACTCACTGTTCATTCTTTTATCGCCCGCATCCTCCTCCGTTCAACCGGATCTCTTTGGATCTCGGCTCCTCCAGAGAAGAATTCATAATTCGGGTATGCGCATTTTAAATATATACCTTCAAGTGTCGGATTTGAAGGGTACGGATGGTATAGGTAGCCATGATGTCTTCCCTCACTAAAGTTACTTGAATATACCCGTAGGTTTCACTACCCTCCTTGGGCCAGTACATATCACATTTCCGCTGCCAGGATAGAAGATAAATGAATGAATAAATAAATAAATAAAAAATATTATACTGCTTAGCGATATCGTTGAGTCGGAATTTCGCAGTGAAGTTTCCGAGGTGAATATACATCTTTTTCTCAGAAAGTCGAGAGAAGTCCTCGCACGCGGTATCAGGTGTGCACTTACACGACCACGTTCGACCAGATTAGTAATCATGACGACTATCGACACGCGCTGCTCCCAGACCATCCGCCAGAAGCCGTCGAACGTCGGGGGAAGTGGGCCCTGGGTGCCGATGTAAGCTCGCGCCCTTTGCCAGCCATCGATGTAATTCGCGTTGACGTAATCCTGACCCTTTTTAGGGGGCCCGCCGCCGCAGGACAGCAATTGCACACGGGTATGGTCGTCTGTGTGAAAATTAAAAAAGAAAATGCCTTTTAGAAAAAAAAAAGAAAAAAAAAAGCCGAGTCGGGAGAACGGGAGGCCGGCCCGGCCGGCGCGGATATGCATTCCTGCGCAGTCGTTTGCATTTCATCATCGACCTCTCGAAAAGCACGAGTTTCGATTGCGCCATACAATTTATCTTTCAATCTTTAGTTAAATACGCAGATATAGATAACGCTCGGGCCAAAGTAAAAATCGACGTACGATTGAAGCAGAGATATCTCTCTCTCTCTCTCTCTCTCTCTCTCTCTCTCTCTCTCTCTCTCGTATCGAGATATCTCCCTCCCTGTCCTCGGGGGCAACAACGCGGCGTTGATTCTTCCCTTCCGCGCGCCGTCGCTCGCGCTTTCACAGCCGCGCGAGATACATTTTCGAATCGCACATAATTCCATTCCGATGCAACGTCGCGAATCACGACTCTCATTATTCTCTCTCGGCAGCTGTAGATTCGCTATCGATACGCCGCGGCGCTCCCCGTCGGATCAAAGTGGTGGTCGATCGAAGTGGCGGAAGGTATCAGCGGGGAGGAATTAAACGGAGCGAATCAGCCGCTGGCTGATAGTAAACGGGAGTATCCGTCGGAAATAGGACGGTTCTCGCAGGTACGGGAAACGTCAGCGCGCTATATTAAGACGCTTGCTTTCATTTTGGAAATATTATATCGCGACGGTGTACAGCGCGCGGACGCAGCATGTCGTCAGTGGCACTTACACGCGAGTATGTTGAGGTATCTGTTCTTGGCCTTGTTCTCGGCGAACTGGGAATTCTCCACCGTGTAATCGCCCGTTTCCGACTGTATCAGCTCGTACTCCTTGCTGAAACCAATGTCCCCGTCGGCATGGAGGCTCGCGACGTGCTGGACGAACTGCTGGACGGCCACGGCGGTCCTCTCGCCGTCCTGCTCGCTATTTTCCCATTCTTGAAGAGTGGGAACGTTTCGCGGCGGGTAGTCCAGATAGTAGTAGGCGGTGTGGAAGCATTTCCTAAAAATCGGCCTGCCACCGAGAAAGAGAAGATGTAGAACTTGCTGGTGTTCCATGCAGGTACGCGTCGTAGAATCGTTGAAGGGTAAGTAAAGTTACAGGTTACAGGTTACAGAAAGTAACGGTAAGAGATAAGCACAAAGGTCTCAGTGACGAAGCGATTTTTAGGGAGGTGGACGGAACGATCTGGAAGAAAATGCGTCGAAAGATTTCAGCCGTCGTTCACTGCTCGTCGATAGGATCATCAGATCAACAGAAGGAAAGTGAGGAATGTTTCACAAAGAGACACTCATTTTAAGTGATACGACCTGAATCACTTGACCTAGATACACGGGTGGGTGGGTGGGTGCGTGCGTGCGTGCGTGTAGCGGCGAAGGGTGCTGGGTTTGTTTTATGTTAACCGGCGATGTCGTGCGGTTTATAAGATAAAATTGCATAAATACAAGATAGGTCACGAGGGTCTCCTCCCTCGCCGCGCATCGCACACGATGCTTTCGATGGCGAACGGGGTCTACATAATCGCACGGTATCACACACACGAGCGTGCAACTTTGCAACTTCGCAGCAAGATCCGCGCAGGAGCAGCCCACGTCGCTTTCGATGCGATTGCACGGCACACGACTTTTCACGCGGAGCACGCTCTACAAAAATGATACACTTCGTTTCGCACAGGAGACACGGGATAATAAGGGTGAGCCTCGTTTCGCATGGATAATTTGAAACCTACGTGGAACCGCGCGACTGAACGCGCTAGCTTTGTGCGGACAAGAGGAACCGGGTCCTACGGATGGATCCTGTTATTCACGAGCGGCGCGTGAAATTGTCTGCGCGCTGCTCAGGATCGCAACCTTAGCGGCATATGAATGGCACATCCCCGACGTGCCTTTGCGCGGGGCCACTTCTTAATAAATCTTTTATGAGGCAGAAGCGACGGCTAAGATCTCCCAAAGGTTACTCAGAGAGTCGTGACGTCGCTACGACATATGTCGTGCGCTGGGAAAATGTCGATCCCGTGGCTCTCCCCGTCCGTCGCGATATTCAAGCAGTCCTCTCTCTCTCTCTCTCTCTCTCTCTCTCTCTCTCTCTCTCTCTCTCTCTCTCTCTCTCTCTCTCTCGCGCGCGCGCGCACGTTCTCGACGTATGTTTCCTTTTTTTCTTCCTTTCTTTTTTCGCTGGAAACTGTGTGAGAGATTTGGACACTTCGATAAATCGCGAGTAATCAACGCGATGTCGGATAGTTGAAATATTTCAGCCCCAAGCTTTCGTGATACCGATGAATCACGCGCGCGCGCGTCCGCTCGTTAATGGGATAGAAATGAAATATCGATACACGTCCAGAATCGATAGCGAGGTCCGTAATAATTCCCAGGCACACGCAGAGACACACAAGGCGCACTCCTCCTCTCTCTCTCTCTCTCTCTCTCTCTCTCGTGCTCTTCGCGACCTTCTCGCGATATCCGCGCTCGTCGGGGGCACTTACAAGCGAAGAAACTTCTTCATTTCGACGGCCTGATCTCGACGACAGCATCCATCATCGGCAAGGTCTCTCCCAAACACCAAGCGAAACACAAGAGAACTCAAGCAGGAGGGGGGGACACGCTTGTACAATGAGAGTTATCACCGAGAGCGTCTCGGGCCCCGTCCGTGACCCAGAAAACGAGCCCGTCCGCGGCCGAACGAACCTTCGCGACGCGAGCCGTTCTTGAAACGTCAGCCGAACGACGCCGGTACGCCGAGAGGAAGAGCGACGGTTCGCGAGAGTTCACGGCACACGCGTTCCCACTCGTGGCACAAACGGCACAGGAGTCTCGGTCCGCCGAGGCGAGGCGTGCCGCGTCGCGTCGCGTCGCGTTGCGTCGCACGTTGCTCCACACACCGCACCGCACCGCTCCGCACCGCTCCGCTCCGCTCCGCTCCGCTCTGCTCCGCACGGCGCGCGAGTTCCTCCGCCGACTGTAGCAAGACCATACTTAGCTCTAGTCACCGCTCGTTATCTCGCGTGATAACGAGACGTCGGAGTATGGGCCGTCGGAGAGGTGGGATATATTGAAGTATCTTCGTGTCTGTATATATACACGGTGTCTCGCAAGTCGCGTCCGATAAATTTGAATCGTATCGCTCGGCGACGGTGACTGAGAGTGACGGCTCGCTGCTCTCCAGAGCGAGGCGCGCTCGAGGCGAAGGTCGACGGTCTAGAAATAATCTCAACTACTATTCAAACTACACACACTTCATAGGACAGTGCGAGCGCTGCGTTACGCGATTTGGAAGAAATGGTTTCACGCTCGACTCGAGATGTCCCCGGGCGCGTGTAAATGTCGCATTCGGGATCAGAGATGTTTCGCCTGTCTCTTAATTCATGCAGGAATTTAGCATAGCGACGCGCCATTCTCGAGGAAGAGAGATGCGGTCGCGGAGGTACGTAAATCGAGAGAGAAGGTTATCGGGACGAAGCGGGCTGCAGCGGCGCGGGGGACCGCGCGTGGGGAAAGAAGCTTGAATGGGAAAAACAGGTATGCGTGCGTGCGAAGGTGCACGTGATTGCACCGCCGGGAACTTTCTAATTGCTCGCGCCGTATACTCGGACGAATTGCGACTCGCGATCGCGAAGCGGCGTGCTCGAACATACCGATTGTCCGTCCGGTCTCGGCAATTTCCAAGTAACACAAATGATACGTCCCTTAGCGTTGGATCGGGCCCGGGCGGAAGTGAAACAGCACTTTGCAAGATCGCCCGTAATATCGAAGCACGCCGCCGTCGTTATTTACGCGGGAGAAAGTGGAGCTCTTGTCACTTGGCAGTTTCGACGTTTCCAAGAATCCGACGATTCTTCTTCGTAACGCTCCGTGAAGGGAAACGAGAGATTGATCTTTCCCCGCCCGGTTATTCCGCCGTTTTTCCCCGGTTTTCCTCGGCGACGATCATTATCCAATATCGACCCGCGGAGATGAGGGAATTAGGAATGTGACATGAAGTCATCCAGATGACGCGAAACCTCTGCGCGTCTGACTAACGTGTAACTGTGTCCTTCGATCGATTCGATCTCTTCAGAAATCGTCTGTCGACGCGCGTTCAGGATTCTCGAGATTGGAATCATCGCCGCGCGACTCGCGGAGACGAGGAAGGTACAAAGGAAGAGATCGGAGACAAGCATCCGCGGTCAGGTTTCACTGACTCGGCCGCTCGGGAGATGGTCCACGTGCGAAATATGTCGGAGCAAAGTCCGGATTTGCGCGGCGCCGCGGCGCGGCGTAGGTTTTTGTTGAGTTTAGATGCGCGCGCGGTCGCGCGATGCAGGATACAATCGCTTGATAATCGACTCGGACATGCTGGAGTTCTCTCTCTCTCTCTCTCTGCGCGCGATAAGCTTACACCGCGTGTCAAAGCGAGACTCACTTCCACAATACGAAGGACGTAATCGCCAGCATCACGGCGATACAGGCGCAGACCATTCCGGCGATCACTCCGGCGCTGAGATCTTTACTGCTGCGACGCATCAAAGGGGGTATCTTGTCGCAGTCGCGGGTGACCAACACCTTCGCCGGTATAGAGCTTTCGCCCTTAATGATCAGGTGACTGTCCACTGTGCTCTTGGTAGCCCCTTGCACCACAACCTCGTACACGGTGTTCATCGTCAGGTTGGGAATAACTGTCTGCAAGCAGAAATTCGCAGGGATCTTGTTGGATTAACGGTGAACGTTGAACTGCGCAGGGAAAGATGAGCGGGAGAGGTAAGAAGGTGAAAGTCAGGGTTTTCCCTCATCGATAAATATTATCCTCGCGACGATAACTTATCGTCGCTTCAGCTGCTTCAGAGCTGCGGTTACGCGATGCGATCGATTTTTATCGATCATTTCGGGCATTTGTCTCTGCGTACTCAGTGAAATCATAAAAGAGGGGACAACGTGGGGACGTCTCCCCACGTTGTCAAGATGATATATAAAAATTGAATGAAATCACGCCGTGTTAAAGCGACGTTACGCAGTGCGCAGGCGTGATTGCCTTCATTTGTTAGGAGGTTATCAGTGAAATCAAATCATCAGTGAGTTACATACCCCGCTCTCGAGATGATTTTTCTCGGCTGACAGCTCGATTTCCTCGTAATATCGGCCATTTTCCCGCCGGTAATTGATGTAGTAGTAGTCGATCGAGCCCCAGAACAGGGCCGGCCTGGCCCAATGGACGTAGATGGACTCGTGAGATTGGCAAGTTAAATTTAAGATCAGAGGAGCGCTCGGTCCTGTTATGTCGGTCTTGCGAATTATCTGGTCCGAAGGCTCGCCCTCGTTTTTCCGTGTGTAAGCCTTCACCCAAATCTTGTATTCGGTGTTCGGTTCTGCGGCAAACAACGACCGGCGCCGGTTACGAGCGATAATTGCGCGAGTTAGGCTCGACGCGCAACTATTTCTCTCTCTCTCTCTCTCTCTCTCTCTCTCTCTCTCTCTCTCTCTCTCTCTCTCTCTCCCTCTCTCTCCCTCTCTCTCCCTCCCTCTCTGTCTCTCTCTCTCTCTCTCCCTCTATCTATCTTTTCCGGTCTTCCTCACGGCGCGATACGAGCTGTCCAACAATTTTATCGAGATCTTCTCACAACTGTGATAAGGCAACTATTTATTCATCCGAAATATAACAGATTAACGATATTATCTAATGACGCATCGTCCGGCTGCATTGCCCGCGTACGAGAGAGAGAGAGAGAGAGAGGGAGAGAGGGAGAGAGAGAGAGAGAGAGAGAGAAAACGTGCGCGTTGATAAGAATCCTTTGAGCCCCGCTTATCGATGCGCTGAGTACACCGACCTGCCTGAGTGGCCTATTGCCCTTATGTGACTGTTTGTCGACTGAAAATTACATATTTATTCTCGCGTTATCTGCTGTTAAAAGCACTCGGCGGAGAGAGACGCGGAGCGAGTGCCGGAGGGCAGGTCGGCTAGAATTTTGAACGTCCTTCCATTTTCGCGCCTTAAAACGAAGTTGAAGTGAACACCTAAGCGACCCGCGATCGAGTACCGGCTGTACTCGAGACGAGCCTGCGCTCGATTCTCTCATTCGTAGCGGATTTTCGAGTCGAGCGACTTCATCGTCTCTTCGCAGCGAGCGAGGCCGTAAAAAAGTCGCTTCGCGCTCTCGGCGGCGCGGCGGCTCGTGTGGCTCGCAGTCTCATTCGCAATTGACTTAATTGACGGGTTTCTGCCCGGGTATAAGCCCGGACAGCGCAGCGTACGTATGTATATGTACTCACTCAGTTCCTTCAGGACGAAGTCGATGTTCGTGTCGTCGGAATCTGTAGACTTGTCGGGTATGTGCATCTTCACGTCCGTATAGTTGGAATGCATATAGTAAACGCGATAGCCAGCGATGACACCATTGGCGTTCTCGGGCTCCGACCACGAGAGCTCGATGGTCGTCCCGGTGATACCGCGAGAGGTGAGATTCTCCGGCTTTGTTGGCGCTGTAAAAATAAAGCGCGAGTTCCTCATCAGACAAAAGAGCCCGCGGTAACTTTTCCATTTCGTCATATCGCTCGCAGAGTCGCGGCGCGCCGAGACGAGGCGCGGGCTCGAAAAACGCGGCTCGAAATCTCTGCTCCTCTCTTTCCTCCTCCCTCCCTCCCTCTCCCTGCCCCGGCGGTCGGGATGGAATATTTAATTGTTGCTTCGAGCACAGCGGGAGGGGGGGGGATATCGGCAGTCGAAGCCCTCCGCGCTGCATCTCCATTTTCTAAAGCGAATAAATAGCACGGATGAATAAATGGCCGTCGAGGCGTTCATAAGAGAGATAAAATTGATTGAATATTCATACATCTCCGCCGCGGCGGTTGCCGGCATTACCATACGACGCGCGGTGTGCGCGTCGTATAAAGCGTGCAAATTGATTTGCATTCTAACCTCAGCTGCGTGAAATCATTGACACTAAACTTGCTTGGACAGCCTCTAACGCGCTCGGAACGAAACGACGCAGTGCGCAGTACGCGAGCGGGAAAAATAGAAACGAGGAATTTCCAGTCGAAACTCAGGTTTCCTCCTGCGTTTCCTCCTCCTGATATACAAGGAAAACAAAGCCAATACAGCCAATACAGATACACACACACACACACACACACACACGAGACCCCTCGACCACTTCCTTGCGCCACACACACGAGTACTCCATGTAAGGAAAGCAATCTTTCCAAAGACATCGCCTCACGTGAAGGAGCCCCTCCCCGATTGGCGAAAAATACAATCTCACAAGCTCTGTATATATTTAAACAAACAATCCCGTCGCTACGCTGCTCTCGCCGAGCGTATAACCCTTCCACACGGGCGCCGTGTGGAAGGCAGGTGTTGGAAAATATCGCGCGCGCATACCTCTGCGCGGCCGGCTTCTTTCCTGAAAATTCATTTCTCGCAAGCGGGCGCACCTGTTACAGTGGCAATCAGTGGTAAATTGGAGTACGCGAGAAAGCGCCCGGCCGATGTCACGTAATCAGAAATCACACATGATCAAGCGCAAGTATTTTATCAGCGTGCGACGCTGGCCGTTCGCGCGAAGGAGGGGGGGGAGGGAAAGTCGCGGTGCAGACGCGGCGGCTCCGAGGCGGCACGACGAGGCACGCGCGATGATCGGTCACACATTTTACCGAGCGGTCTCGCTGAGCGGTGGTCGAGAGCTGTTTTCGATGCGGCTTATCGACAATGCGACGGCGGCGACAATGCGATGAAGCGCTCTCGCGCGCCGGCTCGCTGATCGGCCGCCTCTCTGCCTGCTGCGTGACCTTTCCCTCCCGAACGCGCGGTTATCGCGCCTCTCCGTCTTGGCGCTGCCAAGAGCGCGCTCTTCTCGACAGCAAGTCGCGTTTCGGATCAACGACGCGCGACGACGACGCGCCCGCGCTGAAGAGAGCGGCGACGGGGGGGAGGGACCTTCACCGAGGTTTACCTTCCTCGAGCTTTTACGAGCTGCGACACCGCGTATGATGTCACACGTCGGGCCCGTGCACGCGCGCGTTCCTATTACTATCGGCCTGAAAAACGAATACGATTATGGACCGCATGCGTGTGCGCGCGCGCGCGCGCGTGTGCGTGTGTGCGTGCGTGCGTGCGCGCACGACGCGGCAAGGTCGCGATCCCGCAATCCGCCGTGTGTCGCGCGCCACCGATACGTAGTATGAAAAGCGAAACACGTCGTAACGTATTCGGAATGCGCTCTCATGGCTTTAATCGCGATACGTTCGTCGTATCCCGTGACGAATGGCCGAGGAACGACCTGTTTCGAGCGAACGAGCGGAGGCACGGGCGGGGGAGGAACGCGCGCGAGAGAGAGAGAGAGAGATTGAGAGAAAGCGTTATTTATTAAGCGCTCTGGGACAGAGTCCCCGCTCCCCCTCCCCCTCAAGCACGAGGAAGTCAAAAATAATACAAGAAAATTTTTTGAGTTTACATCAGTTGAAAGAATAATGCAAGGTGAGCATATTCACAAGAAATGGAATAACGTAAAGTAATATAAAAAGAATTGTACAAAGAAGTAGTAGTGTAAAGAATGATAGATTGATAAAAAGCAACAATTAGGCAGTCGGAGGGTAAAAACGGTTGCCAGTACCGAGCTTAGCGCGACTATAAGAGGGGCTCGTATTGGATCTCGCGACGAGATGCTCGTATATCGTGCATTTTTGAACGACTGTGTCGAGTCGGAAGCTCTAATGGTCCCAGTCAGACTGTTCCACAAGGAGACAGCCGCGACTCTAAAAGAGCGTTTGAACATTTCTGTTCCGCGCTGCGGGATTTGTAGTAAATCCGGTGCAGCTCTAGTGCTTCTGTTCGTCTCGTAACATCGGCTCGTAAGATGATCTCCTTGTATAGTTTTTGAGGATGTTGAAGGTGGATTAGGTTATAAAAAAAAGAGAGAGAGAGAGAGAGAGAAAGAGAGGCCGTTCTCGCGGCGATAGGGCGACGAGAGGAGCGAGATTTAAACGACGCGCCTCGTACGAGGCGAGGAAGAGCGGAGGTGGCGGAGAGACGGGTCCGTCTCTCGGATGCCAACATCCGGGCGGATTAACGTTTTCCACGGAGCCGGGGAGAGTCAAGTAGGCGAAAGTGCCTTTATTAGGATAGGTTCGCAATGGCTAACGGTTCACGAGTGAAAGGAACAGTCGATAAGAAACCACTCCGAGTCTACTTGCCCTGAGCACCGACAAGCCGGAGTCGCGCGGCCTGGGATTTGCGTCGCGCCGGCTTGTTGCATCTCGCAGGCCCTGTTACGCGTTACGCCGGGATCGAATGCAACTCTCTCTCTCTCTCTCTCTCTCTCTCTCTCTTTTTGATACGTTCGAGTACGAATCTTTGCTCGACGCTCGTTTGCGTTACGCGACATACACACACATACGCGCGAGCCGGCTTGCCGCGATGGAAGCTGACCGAAGCGACGAGGGGGGAGCCATCCTCCGCGAGCTGCTGCATCTTGTCGCGCACGAAGACGCGAAATTTCGAAGGCGCGCGCGAGGCCGGGCCGGTGTGATAATCGCGCGACAATGTTCCCTATCGTGGCTCCAGCTGGTCACGGACTTGTGCGCGCAGACTACGCCTTCTGATGAGAGCTGCGGCGACAAGCGGTCGCCGTGTTCTTCTCCGTCTCGCACTCGCTGCGACGCAACCTTGCGCGAGTTCTCCTCCTTTGCCCCTTTTTTCCCACCGAGAGAGTATCCGTCAGCGGCCGCATGCCGCTGTTTCCGCCCGAGTCCCGAAAGTGTTCATCGCTTCCGCGGAAGCGGGAGGGGGGGGGGGAGAGAACAGGCCGAAGGTACAAAGGACGACTGTGTTCCTCTTCCACGTGGCGTGTTATCATTGTCCAACCCGCTCGGTAGGAGTTGAGACCGGACAAAGATCGAACCTGCGGCGAGTCTCAGTCTCGAACTTGGTCTCCGCAGAGTCTCGAAGAGTCTCGGAGACCATCTCTATGCGCGCAAATCTATGAGCTTTACCCCCGTTTGAACGACTGCGTTTCCGTCTGCAGGGGGCTTCCCCGGCGCGAGTCGCGTGCGGTGGCGTGCCAGCCACCTACGACTTCCTCTCTCGCTCGTCCGGATTAGGCCGCCGACGACGACCTTGATCCTGAGAGCGAAAATAGAGCGGACGATAATGCGCCGTCGTGTTACGCGCTCGCCGGGCGCTTTTCAGGCAGGATGAGCGTATTCTCATAATTTCATAGCCCGATGAGACACTTGAGGTCAGTAGATAATCGTTGCTATGGCGATGCACGGCGCGCCGTCTATATAGCACGTGCGCAAAAAAGCGAATGACGCGATCAGCTCGGCGGCGGCAGCGGCGGCGGCGGCGGCTCGATGTACGTTTCGTTCCTTTATTACGCTCTTGCGAAAGGAGAAGATCGCGTCGGCGCATCCGCGGTTACCGGCGTGTTTCCAGCGAACTCCCCGCGATAAAAACGTTACAAAATATCGTTGTTTCCCCGCAACAGCCGCAACGGCCTCGCCGGCAATTACAACGGATTGCGCCATGCAACCGTTCGCGCCTTGTGTGTCACAACGCACGTGCGTGCGTACGCGCGCGTGCGCATGCGCGTGCGCGTGTACGGCTCCGTACGCGTTAGTGCGCACTTAAAGCGTTTGCGCAACCGTGGGTGTGCGCATTGTGGGTGAGCGCGATTCGAAGGGAAGGAAGGCGAGCGAGCGAGCGAGCGAGAAAGACGGAGAGAGAGACGGAGAGAGAGAGAGAGACGCGCGTCCTTAAACTCGCGTCTCAAGCGAGCGAGAAACGAGCACGTACGTTGCACCTCGTTCCGCGAAATCGAAACGGAACGGGAAATGAGTTAAGCGTCGATTACACGAGTGGACAATCTTACTCGCAAGGTGATTACGAGGTAGTCGCGTGCCGAGTAACGCAATACGCGACGACGACCACGACGTCGACCACGAGGACGACGACGGCGACGGCGACGAGCGCGGGGCATTTCCTAGTGGGAAACCCGCGCGTGTCTCTAATCGCATCGCGCGGCGAGTGGGGACATTCTCAGCGCGCTTTGAAGAAAGCGCGATTAAAGACTCGCGGAATCGCCGAGCCGCCTGATTAGCGACCCGCGATCGCTCGTTCGTCGAGCCTCGCCGGAGCCTCGGATTTTCCGATCGAATTGAAATCGCGTTGTTTCGTCCGGAGCAGCGCAAGCTTCGTGACGCCTTCAAAGTGAATACTCGTCGATTGAACTGTTCACTTTGGAAGTTGAAGCGCATTTGAAGCAACCATTGTTGCGAGCCATTGCTCATGAGCTTGCGCGCTGATCCTAGGAGGAACTGAAATACAGCGGTGCAAATATCCGACTAGAAATTTATCCCATGATCCTGATCAGGTTAACCTCATTTGGACATCAGGTCCCAATAAGGTAATACTATCCTAGTAAGTCATGTAACGCAGCGTGGATATCAGGACCTTAGGTGAGGATTCATGGTCAGGTCCTTATTGAGTTACCTTATGGAATCCTTATTACGTTTTTTTTTTTTTCAAATCATGGCTCCTGATTACTCGCCACGGTTATATTGGACGATGGCATTAGAAATAAGAAACGACACGCTGAGAATTCTTTCATCTCATTTCGAAATAAAAAGACATTTGCATGAAATAATATTTTAGATCGCATGGGCATACTTGTAAAATGTTTCGGAAAAAAAGCATAAAATGAATATCATAAGATATCATAAAGTATCACAAGGTGACAAGACACAAAGTAGTGTTAAAGAGAAAAGTTGCGTGTCACGTTAATCTTACAACTATTTATCGACTGCTAAGAGAAGGATAGTTCCTATAGCATTTTACAGATATATTCAAGTGATCTAAAGTGTTTTCTCAATGCAAACATCTTTATATTTGGAAATAACACCCAAAAATTGTTTTGCTACAACTTGGTAATGCAAATCGTATTAGGATACAATAAATAAGACCCCGACAAGGACCTGATTAACCGAACCGTATTATATCATACATTAAGGTCCTAATGTGGATCCAATCATTATAACCTTATAAAGGTCTTACTCATTTGTCGTTAGGACATAAGGACCGACTTACTTAGGATTACCTTTCATTCACTCTATTAGGTCCTTATCAATGTTGGGTTGGGTGAACCTGAGGAGTATAACAAAGAACCGAGGAGGACGTAATAAACATACGTGACATTTTACTTTACATTTTCTCCCGCCGCACTCCTGCGGGTCGAGTGTATTTTCGTCACTTTGGCTGCTGTCGCGACGGCTCACCTCGCGCGCAGCTCCATCATGCGACCGCGAAGGGTCGCGATCGCAAAAAGTGTCCGCGGAGGCGAGTGCGCCTCCGCGTACGCGTAAAACAACGAGAATCCGTCCGGCAGAAGCCGCGGAAGATGCCGAGAGACTCGATCGTAACGACTGTCGCGCTCGCGCGCGCTATTGCCTTGTCGAAACGTACCCTTCCCCCCCTCCCCTCCTCCCCGTCATTTCCCCCCGGACTGCCATCGCTCGCTTCATTGCCACCATTACGCAGCGATCACGCACACTGCTCTCTGCGCTCCTACATTCCCTCGTTATATTTCCCCTCTGTTTGCGGCGTCTCTCTCTCTCTCTCTCTCTCTCTCTCTCTCTCTCTCTCTCTCTCTCTCTCTCTCTCTCTCTCTCTCTCGCCATGATAAACGTCTCGCGCGCGTCTTCCGTGCAGGAAACGCAGCGCCGCGCCGCGTCATCCGGTCTGTCGCAAGGTGCTTCTCCTCCTCGTGGACGGACGGGAGGGAAAGAGAACAAGAGGGAGGGGGGCGGAGAGAGAGAGAGAGAGAGAGAGAGAGAGAGAGAGAGAGAGAGAGAGAGACAGACGCGCGGCGCGCGTGTCTCTCCCGCGAATTACCTCGATAAATCTCGCTGTCATTCTCCGTGGAAGACGCCGGCACGATGTAGGTCGTCCGCTCGAAGGTCTGCTCGTAGGCTTGCGTGATCGGGTCCGCGGTCGCGGCGAGGAACCTCAGGATCAGAGCTAGCGAGAGCGCCAGTTGAGCGACACTGGCCACGTTGGCCCACGACATTTTTTCCCCTTGCGCTGCAGCTGCAGCTGCAAAACGCCGCGCTCTTGCGTGCGCGAGTGTGTGCGTGAGTGCGCACGCTTGCCTCTCTCTCTCCCTCTCTCTCTCTCTCTCTCTCTGTCTCCGAGGTCCGCTCTCGCTATTTCACGAATTCGCCCATCCTCGCCGGCGGAGAGCGGCGCGCGCTCCTACGCGCGTGTGTGATTAGCTCAATTATTATTCGCCGCGTCTAAGTAGAGCGCATAATGACGCATTGTTCGGCAGCCGTCGTTCCATTGTCACTGTCACATCGCGCGACGAGCGCGCGACCTCGGCGAGCGAGGCAACGCTCGTCGAATCGCTCACGCCGGGTCCTTATCGACGAGCCGTGAATTTCTCGCCGAGGACCGTCCGTCCGTCCGTCCGGCCGGCCGTGGCCGCAAGGACCTGCGCGTCACCGCAGGTTATCTCCGCACTGCGTGCGAACGCGCACGGCTTTCCGTCGTCGTCCTGTTGTGAGCAAGCGGTTTCTTATTGCGACGTGTGCGAGTCCGCCGCGAATAATCGCTGGCCAGTGATTATTCGCGGGTGACTCGTCGTCGCCGGTAGTTGTCTCCGGCTGTCTCCGGCTGTCTCCGGGTCTCCGCTGTCCCGCAGCCCGGTCGAGCTTCTTCACGGAGGAGAGAGCGGAGCGTGCGCGGAATCGCGGATGCGGAAGCTACGCTCGCTCCGGCGCGGCGGCGGCGGCGGCGGCGGCGGCGGCGGCGGCGGCGTGAGCGAGATGGACCGCCCCCGTCCTCGAGGATCGGATCCTGAGAGTCGAGACCCGGCCGGCAGCCTTCACGGCAGTCGCGAATCGAAAGTCGCGAGCGGTCGCACGGAAGAAGCGCCGAGAGCTTCGCGACAGAACGCGACACTGACGCGAGCGAGCGAGCGAGCGATTTTACTGTTAATTAATTTCTCACAATCACCGCGGGCGCGCGGGCCGCGATAACGCCGCCCCCCCTCCCCCCTCCCCCCCCGCACGCACCTAACTCACTATCTCACCCTTCTCGCCTCGTTTCGGCGAGGAGATTAGAAACACGGATGGGATCGCCGCGCGAGCGAAATATTATCGCGTCGTTATCGCGAGTTCTCGCGGTAACGCAAAGCTCAAAACATCGATCGTACGATCGCGTCGCACCGCGACGGAAGGAGGCGCGCGTGCAAACATTCGCACACTCATACGCATACACACACACACACACATGCACGCAGCGACGAATTATTCGGACCCCTTGGAATGTTGCGGAGCGACTTCCCCCCTCTGTGTTTTTTAGTGGATAGAAACTAGGGGACACACGCGTACAGGACCGCGTCGTAAACAACAACGATGGGGCACGACGACGCGTCGCGTCAGGTCGAGTCTCGTCGAGACCGGACATTAGTTCGCGAATAAAAATTGGAAAGTTGGCGGAAACGCATCACCCACCGTCCGTCAGTTTCAGGCCGAGCGAGAGAAATCATCGCGGACCGCCGCGCCGCCGAGAGCCGAGGAATACGGTTCTTTGGCCAACTTCGAAGTCGAAGTTTTGCCTCGCCGCGCCGCGGAGAGCCCGGGCATTCCTCTCGATCGCGTGCCGCCTCGTGGCGGCATCGAATATCGGCGCTAATGAAGCGCTAAGACACCAGACTCTCTCGTGCTCGAGGAAGCCCCGCCCCGCAGGGGCTTCGCGCTTTGCGAGATCGTTTTCCCGCGCGATCAATTACGTCGACGTGCGCGCGGCGCGGCGCGGCGCGGGGTGAATTCGCCAAACTGCCGAGAACAGTCGCACGGCTCCCGGCGATCGGCAGGGGGAACGAAAACTCGAGTCACCGAGAAGCGAGCGAGCGAGCGAGACCGTGAATAAGAGAGCTGAGGATTTTCTCAATACACAGCGCGCGCGAACAATTAAACGTCAGCTCCGCGCGCGCTCGCCGAGAGCTTGCGACGAATAAAGAAGCAAATGACAGGACGCGGCCGATCGCGAGAGATCACAATGCGGCGCGAGACGCGCACACAAAGGAGCGCGCAGCGCGCCGGTGCTGCGCTCCAGTTCCATATCCCGCTTGATACGTCTAATTGGCGCCGCGAGATAGACAAATAATCGCCGGGCGAGAGAGCCGAATATCGAGACGCGCGCGCGGCCACGAAAACTCCGCGTCGCGTCGGCCCGAAGAAGATGACGAAGCGAGCAGGAAGAAGCGTGCACGCTCGCGCGAGCGCGAGCGGCGGCATTTAAAACGGCGATCCGCGATTGATTCATAAAGGGGTACCACGTTTTGTCGCGGGCTCCTTTTCTCGAGCGAGCGTCGACGCTGCTCTCGCGAGCGGCAGCGGCTGCGCGCATTGTGCACGAGCGACAATAATCGAGACATAATAATCATTAACGCGGGCGCTGCCGCAGCGGGGACGTGGAACGAGGTCAAAGGTCAGCCGCCGAATATCCGAGCCGAATATTCGGGCGAATCCGATGGCGCGAGACAGGAATGACGGAGAGGACGAGAGGCCGGCGCGCACCGTTCCCACGTTAATCCCGCGACGCGGCGCGGTGCTGTTAATTCGCGAGACGAGAGACGGAACCCCGAGAGAGCATAATCAGCGACGAACGAGAGAGCGGCGGACCGCGCCCCATTCCGCCGCGACCAGGCTACGATCTCACCGGCGCGAAAGGACTGTTTCCACCGACGTACGCACCGTCGAGGGATTCCTCGGACGGGTTGTTGGCTATCAGGGTTGAACGCTCGTTCGCGCGGCTCGCGCTAACGAGCGGGGGAATCGCCGCGTAGGCTTCTGAGGATTCGCTTTCCGGAATTTCACTGCGCGAGCGTGTCTCCTCCGTCGTGTAATCAGGAGAGACGGGGTGGAGGATATGAGTCGCGCGTCGACGATGATATACGAGGACGAGAGCGAGCCTCGAGACAGAGAGAGGGACAGACAGACAGAGAGAGAGAGAGAGAGAGAGGGAGAGAAATCAGCGATTCCTCGCGGTCGACAGCGGACGGCGGCGGTCGCGATGAAAACGGGAGGAAAAAACCGAGAGGACCGATGGCAGATGCGGCGCGTTTCGTGCATGGACGCGCGCAGCGGTGCACTCGCGCGGAGCATCGACGAGGAAGGCGCGCACGGCGGCGGCGGCGGCGGCGACGGCGGCGCGGCGGTGGCGGCACGTCGCACGGAAATTGGAACGGTCCGGGGCGATGATTCGCGAGGCGACACGGAATGGATTGACCTCGATCGCGAGACGCGATTTTTCAGCCGCGAGCAGCGGCAGGAACCCCGGCAGGAGCGCCGCTCGCCACCGTCGACCCTGCGATTCGTCACTTCCCCGCGTCCTTTCGCCGCGTGGTTCCGTCCGCGAGCGCGATGGATGCACCGAGTTTCACCGATCGAACTTGCGACGAGTTCCCTCGACGTCGCGTCGCCGCACCGCGCCGCGCGACGACGACGACGACGACGACGACGACGACGACGGGATGACGCTCGATCGCCGTTTTTCCTCGTCACGGGTTAAACGTCGCCTCGCAGGCTCGTCATTCGTCCTCCGATCTCCGCTCCGATTTCTTTCCTCCCTTTTTTTCTTTCCTTCCTGTGTTTTCACTTTTCTTGTTTCGTCTCGTAATTTGTCTGCCGTCGATTCGACGGCATCAGCATCCAGCAGCCAGGTTGAGTCATGAACGTTGTATCGCGCCCGTAGCGCAGAGCGAATGCTGTTCTTTTTTTTTTTTCTTTTTGTTTTTCCCTCGCGTGCTTCAAACGGATGCGAACGTAAACTGAATGTCGATACTGTGTCATCGTAATTTATGCCGCCGCTCCGCGGTAATCGCGGTGACTCACGCGGCGTTTCACTTGTTTCTTTTTTTCTTTCTTCTTTTCATCGACTACTGACGCGATGCTGGAAGCGAAGTGTCAAATTAGATTGTTGGGAAACTGACGTTACACTGACGTTTCTCGACGCAATTGCCTCCAACACGAACAAAAGTTGAAACGACGCTCGAGGAGGAGGAGGAGGAAAATGGGGAGGGGAGGAAGAGGCGCTGGTATGATGGTGGTGGTGGCGGTGTGGTGGCTATGATTTATTCCGCGGTTTCAGCTGGACGATACGTATTATCTCGCGCAAATTGATTAGCGCTCCCCGATAAGTCACCGGCGCGACGAGCGTTCGCTACGACGAACTACGCGAATTCAATCCCGAGCGTTGCCGAGCAAAATTTATAAATCGAGAGAAAGTTCAGCCGCGGAGCAATTTTTCCTCACAACGAACGTGCGAGTTGCTTTCGCGCTCCTCCATGAGAGCGCCGTAATGAACTTCTTTCTCTCCTTCTTCTTCTTCTTCTTCTTCTTCCTCTTCTCCTCCTCCCTCGTTCTATTCTCGAGACGAGACACACAAAGGGACCTTCGAGATTTTCCGTGAGACTTCAATAGGGTGTCTTGCGAGGTCTCTCGGACCGGACGAAAACGAAAAGGGACCTAAAAGAGGGGCGCAGGGAAAGGCGTAGGGAAAATAAAATTCGCTCAATGCGAGCGAGCGTGTCGGTGAATATTAGGAGTATTCCGAATGCGCCGCTCGGGTTTCATTTTGGCACTGCTCGACGTACACATCTCGCGCTCGCGTCATATCGACCTCTCGACCCCGTCTCTCTCTCTCTCTCTCTCTCTCTCTCTCTCTCTCTCTCTCTCTCTCTCTCTCTCTCTCTCTCTCTCATTCTCCCTCCTACACATACACACACAGCATACAGAGGCGTGCACACGCGCACGCACACACATACACACACGCTCTCTCTCTCTCTCTCTCTCTCTTTTTCTTTCTCTCTCCCTCTCACTCACTCTCTCTCTCTCTCTCTCTCTCTCTCTTTCTCTCTGTCTCCCTTCAGCCGCTCCGAAGTGATTCGGAATACCGAGACCTTCCGACGAGGGAGAACGGAGAACCTCCCGGCGGTTCGTAGCACGAGCCGAACAAAGGATCACACCCAGGCCCAGGAAGCCGCGCGATATATTCCGCGATTTCTCGACCCAGGCGTCACCGGACGAGCCGGAGGAGGCGTCGTCGGGACCGACGGCACGCCGCCATCTCGGCGAGCTCCCGCTCGCTCGCTCGCTCACTCTCTCTCTCTCCCTCTCTCTCTCCCTCCCTCTTTCTCCCGAGATGTGGCTCGTCCCGTCCGCGGACAGGTTCCGCTCCGCGCGATTCCGCTCCGCACCGCTCCGCACCGCTCCGCTCCGCTCCGCTCCGCGTCGTGCGCTCACCGCAAGCACCGACCGCTCACGAAACACTCACTCGCGACTCGAAGCCCGATTATGCCGGGAGAGGACCGGCAGGATCAGCGCACTTCCGATTCGGCACGTTGCGGGTAGAAACGGAGCGCGAGGTACACAGAGCGAGAGCTCGCGTACTGTCACTGCGCGCGTACGCGAGCGCGACGCGTGCATGCGGACGACTACACGCGCACTCGCACTGCACTGTGACCGCGCTCGCGCTCGCGCTCGCGCTCACGCGACAGAGCTCATGCACGAGCCCATGTGAGAGCGCGGTGAGTGCGTGCGTGCGCGCGCGTGCTTCGTATGACTCGTACTTTAAACCCGCGTACATCCGCGACTCGGTGCGCGTATCCGGCACTGCGCTACGCCATGTAGAGAGCCCGTATTACTCCGACTCCGACTACGCGCACGTATACGTCGACCCGCCACGAGGAGAATGCGCGCACTCGCCCGCACCCACACACAAGCCGCGGCCCAACGTGCGCACGCATACACACAGACCTACGCACACACACACACACACACACACACACACACACACACACACAGAGACAGACGCACGCACGCGTGCACTCGTGCTTAACAACTTCACGTGCGACCGCAACCAAGACACACGTGCGCGCGTGTAAACGGGCTTCGTTCCGCGTGTGTCGTCGTCTCCGGGATACCGATGACGGTGACGAAGGGGACGGTGAAGAGCGAACGACGACGGCGACGAGGACGCTCGAACCGGCTCGCGCGACACGGCGTGTTCGCCGGCCGCCGACTCGAGCAGGTACTTCCCTCGACCCGCGCTGAAAAATCGGGGAAAATCGATCGTCGACCAGGCGCGGCGCCGACCGAAACGCCGTGGCAGCTGCTCCCGCTCGCACTCTCTCTCTCCCCCCCCTCTCTCTCTCTTTCTCTCCCTCTTCTCTCCTTCTTCCTCCCTCTCTCTCTCTCACTCCTTTCTCTCTCTCTCTCTCTCTCTCTCTCTCTCTCTACTGCTCTCTCGTTCTCTCCCTCTTTGTCTCTCCAACGGCTTCCTCTGTCGCACGGTCGCCGGCTGTCACGCTCCCCTCTTCTGCTCTTCCCCCTCTCTGCCGTCCAGCGACCGCTCGTTTCTCTCCCACGAACGGGTTCCTCTCTTTCTCTCTCGGGTCTTTGAGTCAGCTGCCTCTGTCCTCTCGCTCTTTTACCTCGTGTCCTTTCTCTCTCTCTCCTCTTCTCCTCTCTTCTCCTCTCTCTCTCTCTCTCTCTCTCTCTCTCTCTTTTCCTCCCTCTTTCTCTGTCTCGCCGGTGAGCCCATAGAGAAAGAGAGAGAGAGAGAGAATAAGCTCTCTCGTCAATACATGAAAGAAATTCCTCTAATGTCAATCTTGCCGGCGCGTTGCACCGAACGCGTCGGGCGAGGATACTCGAGCAGCCGGGAGATTCTGAGATTCCAAAACGGTGATGATGTTCACAATGAATACGGGGGGTCTCGGGAATCCTTAGCTACGGCTATGGGAACGTGCTCGTTCCTTGGCACGAAGAAACTCCGACGTTCACAATGACGTTCTATCGTAGACGAGGGTCAACGAGGGTGCAGCGCCGAAGCAGCTAGAAAGTTGCCGGCGATGAATGCGCAGGGACGTAATGAATCACCAATGACGTTCTCTCTCTCTCTCTCTCTCTCTCTCTCTCTCTCTCTCTCTCTCTCTCTCTCTCTCTCTCTCTCTCTCTCTCTCTCTCTCTCTCTCTCCCTGTCTATGCGTGTTCAAAAATAGAGAAATGCGTTTCAAAAATAGAGAGAGAAAGAGAGACATGCGCGATACTTCATCTTTTATTGAATTTCACCGACCGTTCAGCCCGGTCGGAATGTGTGTTCTGTTGGCTCTAGCGTTATATTTCATCATCGGGGACACTTTTTGCAATACTCCCGTCTCTCAGATACGGTAAACGTTAATCGTGAATGCTATTGGTCGCGTTATTTCCGATTTCGCGAATAGCGTTCACGATTTATGTTTACCGTATCCGAGAAACGGTATTGCAAAAACTCCCTATTGTCAGATACCGAGTAGGTTTTTCTTTATAAGTAAAGCGTGTGTGTGTGTGTGTGTGTGGGCGTTTTGCGCGAAGAATACACGACTCCTCGCCGGTTCATTAAAACGCGGCGTCTTCGCGTCGAGCTAATCTCTTCATTTTGACAATTTCGTCGCAGATCGCAGACGATATCGATATATAAATAAGAGCGCGCGCGCGGGCGGGCAAAGCACGTGCGAAGCGAGATATTCTCGCCCGTCATCGTGCGATCAATGCAGAGGTCTTGCATTGCAGCTGCGGCTAAGCTCGCCGCGCACTCAACGCTTTATCACGACTGATACCGTGTTCTGTTTTACCGTACTCGGGTACGCGGCGCATTATCTCGTGCCGCAGTGGCTTCGATTCGAAACGTCACGCTCGGAATCCTATTGTACCAGCTTCGTTTCGCGCGACTCGCGACACGCGAGCACGCGGAAAAGGCGTCTCTTTGTATCCCTCCCCCCTTGCGCTTTTATTCCCCCTTTCTATTCTTATCCTTCACTTACCGCCTTCGTCGGTCATCACCGTCACGGTCGAAGCCGGCCCGTGGCCCTCCGGATTGAACACTTGCAGGGAAACGAGATACTGCGTGAAGGTCTCCAAATTGTGGATGCTGTGATTCTGTAACGCGAGAGGATGAAGGATACACGTGCGTTCCTCTTGTTCCTTTTAACAAAGGCGCTCGCGCGCTCGCTGTCGGCCCCGCGCGAGATAATAAAATATTTTACGCGACTTACGTCGACGGCAGGATCACGAATATAAATGTTTGTCATTTCTTCGTCCGCTTTCTCGCGTCGTCGGTATCCTATGCGATATCCGAGGAACTCGCCGTGTATGGTGTCGCGACTCGGCGGCTTCCACGCCAAGTAAATAGACGTCGCTGAGGTATTGTGGGCCGCCGTGATGGTCGGTTTTCCTTCCGGTACTGCAAACAATCATACACGTTTTGTAAATTCCTACGATCCCGTGCGGGGAAACAACGTCTCGGGACAAGCGAGACGGGCCAAATGTCAGGGATAAAGGCGGGGATAAAATCTGACTGGGAGAGATTCGGAATTACGAGAGGAAAAGTTTCTTTCTCCGTTGTTGCTCCGGCTTTCGCGCGAAACGATATATTATTTGTAAGCGTCGTCGCGCGCGCGCGCGCTTGTCGACGTTTGTCGAATCGTTAAAGCTATCAGCTTCATTGAAATCTATACACGTCGCGCATTCTCGCTCGTTTCAATAAGCAACGTATTAATAACGCAATTTATCCAAACGCAGAGGAAGAGAGGAGAGAGAGAGACAGAGAGAGAGAGAGAGAGAGAGAGAGAGAGAGAGAGAGAGAGAGAGAGAGAGAGAGAGAGAGAGATTCATTAGGTGCTTAATAAGCAGATATTAAATCATTGACGAAGCCAGCTGATGGAATTAGCGAGCAAAATAACGGATTCCCCATCATTTGCTCGCAATCTTTTCACGATTCGCGCGCTCGTTACCTCGGTAATCCGTTTGTCACAATTTTCTTCGATCGATCGAGGAAGGGCGGCGGCGAGAAAGGGGCATTGTTAAAATCGCGAGTCAGCATTCGCGAGGCTCACAATCATTTCTAGACTCGTTGATTCGAGGAGGCGTAAGAAGCGGAGCGCAATTTCCTCGAGAGCCACAATAGCCAAAATCCAAATACCGAGGCAATCTTTGGAGAGAAGAGACAGTTTCATCGAAGTGTTCAAGCTGACAGCTCCCGGCCGCGTCAGTTATTTCGGTGTGTATTTCTGTGCGATACTGTTCATCTCTATTTGCTTCCCCCGCGGAGCAAAATTGTACACACACAGGCTGTATTCCAAACTGTATTCCTGGATACCTGGATGTCTCGGTATTTGGATCACGGTATTACGGCCATCCGGGAGATCGTCGCGCGCGGCCTCCGAATCTCCCGATTTTGATTTTTCGGGACAATGCACGCGCGCCCTCGGGCGCGTTCCGATAACCCGCGCGTTGTCGTATCAGGCTGAAGCGAAGCCGAGCTACTCCGGGAAGAATCGAGACTTCAGGCACTGGGAATCGACTTTTCAAGCTCTCTGACGTCTTCTCGGCCGATGACTGGCCTTTAGCACACGACGAGTGCTCGACCGGTATCAATGAGAGGAAGAAGAAGATGAAGAAGCACTTGCGACGGTTCTGAAAAGAAAACTATCAAAGCAGCAGCAGCACATTCGTCGCAGTGCGGTAGCTTCGTGTCAATCGCTCGAAAGGAGTTGGTATGATTGGAGGAGCCTCGTGCCGAGTGTTATTGTGCGCGTCCTTTCGGTCGGCAGCGCGGAACGATCAAGTCGGCCATTGCGTTAGTTGACGCGCGTTTCTCGTATCTACGCGAATGTCAGTGGCAGTGAGCGTTCCACCGAGCAGCCACGACAGGACGTTGGATTTGGAGGCCAAGACGAAGGACGAAGGACACGAGACACCGGGATATGCGGGTAGCGACACATCTCGTTTATTCGGGCGTGTTCGATTCTTTGTTGCGCAGCGTTTGACGAATAACTTGGCAAGAATAGGCAGACACCCAGTCTGCCGATTCCGAATCTACTGCAAGGCCGGCACTTCGCCTCGTTTGCCTCGTCGTTCGATAAATAATCGTAAACTCATGAATTCCTGCCTCGTAAGTCGGAGGTCCATGAATTTACATGATTATTTGCCCGCAGTCGAGCGAGTTATTCGTTTACTTGATACATCCTTTAGAATTAAAATAAAAAACACGAGGACGCCTGCATGCGTCGCGTCGCGATATTCTCCATATTGGTGCCTGAAGCGTGACGAAATTTGCAGGATCAAGATGTAGAAGCGAGCTTTCGACTCGGGTCTCGTCGTCGCGGATCGTACCGCACAGACGATAAAAATCCATCGGTTCATGAGCGCGGAGGAAAAAAGCCGATTCTGAAAAACAACGCTCGACACGGGGGAGTATGACATACAGCAAAAATAATATTTAAAGTTGCTGCCGGGAAGCGGGCGGCCGCCCGCGCCGCCGCCACCGCCGCCGCCGCTTGGAAATCGATAGTTGTGATTGCTTCGAATCGTCGAACGCGGGTAAATACGTAACCGGACGAATAGAGAGAAAAATTAAAAGGTAATATTTAACCGGCAATCGTGGAAATAAATTTCCAAACTGGCGGGGACTCTCCTGGAAATTTCAAGTTTCCGCGTGTGCACGAGCCGCCGACATATAAAATCTCGCGCGAGCGAGTATATACGCGTAATAAAGCGCAGCTGTTGACGAGGCGCGGCCGCGCGCACGCGCGGCTGCGCGTGTTTTTTTTTTTTCCCCCCCCTAGATATATCGGATACATATTTTCATCGAAATCATTCAATCAATGTTAACCGTGTCACTTTATACGCGCGGACGAATGTTTACCGGCGTACGCAGTATCGTTTATCGCCGCACGCGCATCGTCCATCGATCCTAC